AATAAAAAGCTTCGAAAAAATTTGTTGAGGAGTGAAAAACGATTCTTGTCTATATACGAAATGTTCACTATTTGTAAGTGGACACATGGGAAAAATCCCAATAAATAGAAACGAATAACATGAAATAAAGCCTAGAAAACAAGACAATAGGAAGAGAACAATACATATATATGTGTATCGTACATCCAGTATTATGTCAAAGAAGAAGAAACAAAAAAAGAATTCATAATGTAACAATATTGAACAAATAAAAAATGACCATGCTTTTTTGAACCCTCACGGTATATAATGGGCAAACTTATCTTGATCAGCTGCAATGGCAGAGATGCAGAACCTGTCGTTAAAATGAAAGATTTTCCCAGCGAAGAAAGATTTTTGAAAAATTTTTCTGACTGTCAAAGTAAAAGAAATCCGTTTTTTAAATATCTATATCTTTTAAAGCAATGAAGGAAGAAACTAGGCTACTATAAGCTGGGGGAGGGGATCGATCACTTAGGACGTCGATTGAAAACATTTTGCTAAAAATGACTCGATTTTAGGACGGGGTCGAGGGTTTTTTGGAAAATTGGTGAGCAAGTAAACGAAAAACTACTTGAATTTTGCTGTGAAAAAGCAAAAATTTTTCAAGATTGGGGACCCTGCTTAGGACACCCCTGGATGAGACATGACCAGTATTTTATGACGTAAATGCTGGTGAAACCACATTAGAAAGTTGCTCCTCTTGTTTTTGTTCATAAATCTTCAATGTGAATATTTTATCAGGATGTTAATTTTTGCAATGATCTTTTTCTTCGTCTTTACGACCGATTCAATCAAGATAAAAATATGTTACTTGCTTTTTGCTTGAAAACATTTTTGAGTTTTCTAATTTGAGAAAAAAATGAGTATTATGATTCATTTTAACCACTAGATCACATTTTGTCTTTTATAAATATTTCTACTTTCTTCTTCGACTTTTTTTCTTTTCAGATACAGATATCTGTTTTTATGGCTATATAAATGTGTTTGTTAGTGCTTGTGTAAGCTAAAAAGTATTAAAATAAACAATACCTTAAACTGTTGCTCAAACACAACAAAACAAAAACTCATTTATCGAATAATTACTATGACATATTTGCAAACAACTACTATTTTTTCTCTCTCGTAGATCTTGATAACGTCATAATTCAATTTATGAATTGTTTTGTTTTATGAATCTTTTATTTTTTTTATATTTGACAGAAAAGTTAAATGTAAAATCTTTCGAAATTTTAAAGAAACAAAGAAAAAAACACTCAAACTGACAAAACAAATCATGGAAAAACATGCGCTTTTTTTTCTTGGTTAAGTGCATATCTTGCACATACGAGCAAAATACTCAGTATGTAACAAATGCTTTATGTTTATAGCATAGCAACAAAAACAAAAACAAGAAAAGAAAAGAAAACTGAACTACCTGTACATAATCACTTTTTTTCATGTTTTGGAAAAAAGAAGTTAAAAAAGACGAAACTAAAAATCTTCATATTAAGCAAATACCACTGATAAAGAAAGGTCAAAAACAAAAAGAAAAATGTTCATTGTTCTCATGCTGTTCGAGCATTACGCATCAACGGTTTATGAACCATTGCCGGTGGTTCACATTCATTTGTTTGAGTTGTTAAATGATTAGAATTTAAATCCCAACATGTTGCACAATAATATTTCATACATTTAAGTGAACGACAAAAATATTGTCCCATATTTGGACACCATTGTCCATTATTACCTGTACATGGTACATTATCAGATACATATGGATCAATTTGAATCTAATAGAAACAAGAATAAGAATAAAAAAAAGTAAGTATTGATATACAACATACCACTTTACAAAATTTATCACATTTAATCATTAAATAATTAGCTGTGACAGCTGCATAATAACTATGCGCATTGACGAAAATAACACGACCAGAGCCTAAAAAAAGAAAAGAAAAAACAACTTGATTAATAAAGAATGTCATCATTAGAATTTCTTCAATGTCATTCTATTTATTTTAACAATAAGATTTTTAATCTACTAAACAACTCCGCAGAATAAAAGCCCTGTCTAGAAAGATCGATATAAAAGATCTATAAGAAGCCTACATCTAAACCCAAGTTCGTATTAGTAGCTTCCCACATAAGAGAAAAATTAGTTCATACAATTAACTGATAGAATAATGTAAAATTTTACAAGAAGATCATCGAAATAAATTTAATCTTAATAAAATTCGATTACAAAAGAAAAATGAAAACTAACCGATTGGATATTTATTCCGATCGGTATCAATAGCTGCATGTTCAACATCACCAAATAATTCGTGACATATACGAGCTAATGCATATGCTGTCATCATTCCATGCAAAGCACCAACAAATACTGTTCGATTGATACATTCAGTTGAATTAAGTCGTTGTTCCCAATTACCATAACCATTTGATGTATAATCACCTTCAGCTATCCATTGAGAATCTTCCTATATTACAGAAAAAAGTTTTCTTTTTTCCTTTTAAATTGATATAATTACTTACCACAAACCATGGAATAATTTGGATCTAAAAAAAGAAATTTTTTTTTGTGTTATATATTTAAAAAAAAAAGAAAAATCATTATTCTTACACTTTTTCGTCTTGAACTTGCACGTTGACTGTATACATCAAGATAATATTCACATCGTCCATCATCTAATGTTCGATCAGTTCTTGTTGAACATGTATGTAATATCTTATGAACAGATTCTTCATTTTCATATACAGCATAAACAAAACCAACTGTAACTAATTTATTCAAAATAAAAGAAAAACAAACTATTAGCACAATGCTTGCAAGTATTCTTTAAAAATAACGTATTTTTTATTTTTCTATAATTTTAAGTAATTACCTCAAATCCAGATAGTGATTTTAATAGTCAATGTAGTTTTCTATCTAATGCATTCTTTACCAAGATTTTGAAAAAAATCCAAGCACGGTAATTTTCAGATCTCACAAGTTATTTTTTAATAATACCGTTAATAAGAGTTTTCTACGACCTTCTCTTAATTAACCCTTTCCAGCCGACTCCTAGAAGCCACATAGCAAAAAATTTTTTCCTACATAGTTTTTGTTGCTCTACCGTGGGGATAGCAAAAAAGTATATTTCATATCAAGAAAGTAACTCTGTACCCATAGGCATGATGTTGCCATTTGGCAACAGCCGGCCGAAAGGGGTCAAAATTTTGAAAAATTTATTTTTCGTTTTTGGTGTTTTTCTTGCTGCTATTGCTGGATTATTTTCATCTAAGATTGATTGTAAAGGTACCCGACCGCATTTCACTAAATATGATGCTAGACTAGGCTTAAGCAAAGTTGTGGCAACATCAATTCAGAATACCAACAGAGGCATTGCATTCTGTTTTGGAATCTAAAGCTGTATGAGAGCGATACAATTACCAAGCATGCACTATTGACAGATCAATATGACAAAAGATAATCTTCAAATAGTATTTTTGTGGCCGAACTTTAATGCGATATAGTGAAATCAGCATTTCGATCGAATTAACCTCACCTATATATTGGTTGTAAGCTTTTTTCAGCATCCGTACGTGTGATTTATATATGTTTTCTCTCTTTTAACGACTATCGTTTAACAGAATCAATGGAATCGCAACCCTGGACTGTTCAGAGAGAGTTTACGGCATTATTGTCGCACTATCTTGTTACACAAATTTCGATCCCATCGTTTTCGGTCACACGATGGTTCATTACTCCTTGACCTTCATTTGACAGATCGTCACATTTTTCATAGTCGAATCTGGTATTGATTAGGTCATAAAGTACCAACAGTATATAACCAGCTTTCTCAGCTCAAACTGTAATCAAATCATTATAAAATAATTACCCAATATAGTTTATGATTGATAGAACGTGATACAGTCTCATTTAGATCAAGAACGGTTTTCATCAAAATTCATACTCCTGCTTTCCTTGCGCCTATAGAAAATAAAATCATAGCATATACCACTTCCACCGCCGGCTAGAAGGAGCATTTTGTATCGCGAACGGTTCGGTGTATTTGGCATATGCTGTTTCATTATAGTTTTGCCTTCAAAAGGTATTACTTACTCATGGGCACTGAACTTTTATTCTTTTAGGATTTTCCTGAAATTTTCTTTCATAACATTCAATAATGGACGAAATTAATATGCTCGAA